AGCACAGTTAAGTGTTCTGGAATGCTCATACTTCGCAATGTTGTCCGTAGCTTGTCATGATCCACACAATTGAAAGCCTTTGCATAGTCAATAAAGCACAGGTAAACATCTAAATATACGGTTGATGCATATATTTGCATATTAGTGACATTAACTGGTCTTCCTTGTAGGTGTAAGGATATTGTGCTATCACAGACAGTGATGTACTTCAAGACAGATCTTGATAAGTTCTTTTTGATGATGAATGCAACGCCATTCCTCTTCAATTTGTCAATCCTAGCATAGTAAACCATGTAATATTCAGATTCAAAATATCCAATGCCAGTCCATTTCAGCTCACTAATTAATGCCTAGGATATCAATGTTATGCATGCATTCCATTTCGTTTTTTACCATATCCAATTTTTATAGTTTATACATTCCATGTTCTGATTATTGATAAATGTTTACAGCTGTCTCTCTTCATTTTGAGTTGTATCCCATCAGCACATGAAGGTCCCGAAGGCTTTATTCCATTTGCATCATCACAGTCAACTCTACTTGGAGGAGGCAGCTCTTCCCCACTTATATTTTGAGTGCCTTCCAAGCTGAGGGGCTCATCTTCTGGCACTAGATCTGACAATAATCTGGTGCTCTTCATAATATTTCAATAGTCAATATTCTAGCAGTGTCCCACTGCTATTCATACGTTTTCAGTGACTATAAATATTCCGAAACAGTCCACCTCTCCTATATTCTAGTCTGTCTTCATCTGGAAGCTCAGCTGAAACCTGTCCAACATGGTTGACCCTGCTGGTATTTAAAATGCCAGTGGTATAGCTTCCAGAATCACAGCAACACACAAGCCACCACAACACGACAAACTGACAGACGAGTGGTGGACAGCGGCCATTAGAAAGAAGCAAATCAAAACAACATGGAGATATCATCTCACCCCGGCATTAACAGCGAAGTTAAAACAACAACAAACAGAAAGGAACAAATGCTGGCAAGATGTGCAGAGCCTGGGACCCTCCTCCATTGCTAGCAGAACTGTAAAATGGTACAACCACTGTGGAAAACGGTATGGCGCTTTCTCAAGAAGGTGGAAAGACAAATGCCATATGACCAGCAATTCCTCTACTTGAAATAGATCCTCAAGAAATACAAGCCATGACACAAATAGATATCTGTATACCAGTGTTCTCTGCAACACTAGTCACAATAACAAAAAGATGGAGACAGTGTGAATGCTCATCAAAGAAGAATGGTTACACAATCTTAGGCACATACACACAATGAAATACTATGCAGCACTGAAGAGTAACCATGTATAACATGGATGAATCTAGAGGGCATTATGCTGAGTAAACTTAGTCAATCGCAAAAAGACAAACTATTGTATAAGACTACTATTATAAAAAGTCAAGAAACTGTTTTCTTGCTGAAAGAAACATTCTTTGATAGTTTACGGGGATGGGGGGGATAAAGGAGAATTTTTCACTGGCTAGAGGGTAGACATGGGTTAAGCTGGGTGATGGGGAAAGTAATATACTACAAAAGGAAAGTGAGCAAAGGAAAGATTGGAGGTGAGGGTGGAAGACACACATAGAGTAGTATCAGAGTTAAAGGGAATAGAGGTGACAGCTTGAGGACTAAGGTGGCCTGACCCAAGCCATGGTATTTTCAATAACCTCATACGCATGCGAAAGCTGGACAGTGAATAAGGAAGATCATAGAAGAATTGATGCTTTTGAGTTATGGTGTTGGAGGAGAATATTGAAAGTGGGCTTCCAAATGAACCAGTAGATCCGTTTTGGAAGAAGTGCTGCCAGAGTGCTCCCTGGAGGCCAGGATGGATAAACTTCATCTCTCATACTTCGGACATATTGTCAGGAGGGACCAGTCACTGGAGAAGGATATCATGTTTGGTGGGGTGGAGGGTCAGAGAAAAAGAGGAAGACCCCCAATGAGATGGATTGGCCAAGTGGCAGCATCGATGGACTCAAGCGTGGTAACTAACAGTCGTGAGGTTAACCGAGGATCGGGCAGTGTTTCATTCTGCTGTGCATAAGGTCACTATGAGTCGGTAACAACAACAATGACTGTTACTTAATGGTACATGGAGTCCTGGTGTGGCGCTTTGGCTTAATGCACCACACTGCAAAGCCGTTTGAACTGCAAGGTCAACGGTTCAAGCTCACCAGCTGCTCCTTGAAAACCCGACAGAGGGTCGCTAGGGGTCGGAACTGACTCGATGGCACTTAACAACAACAACAACAAATGGTACATAGGAGAGATTGCAATCCTTAAAATGAAACAAAATGAAACAAAATCCTTAAAATGAAACATTTGTTGAATGTAAAACTGATGATCTTATCTATAAACCTTCAGTCAATTCACAATAATAAATACGCAAAAATAAAAGTTTTTTAAAAAATGGAATTAAAGTTCTTACATTGTTTGGGATGAAGCAAAATTCTAATTTAGGGTATGAGGGTAATTAATCGCTAGAAGAATGACACTAACAAAATTCAAACAGGGGGATCAAATGAGAAAACTCATCATATAAAAAAAGGCTAAGGGGAAATTAAAAATGGACGAGATAGAGAACACAGAGCAAAGCGGTAGACTTAAATCCAACCATTTGTTGGTGGCTATCAGGGACTGCCAGGCTGTTTCAAACTCATAACGAGCCTACACACACAGCCCAGTCCTGCGTCATCTCCACAGCTGTTACGTTTCGAGCTCACTGCTGCTGCCACTGTGTCAGGAAGATCCAAGAGGTCTTCTTGTGTTTATCACTGACCTTCCGCTTGACCAAGCATGATGTCCTTCGTTAGGGACTGATTCCTCTGGACAAAGTCTGGTCCTCCTGACTTCTAAGAAGCCTTCTGGCTGTACTTCTTCCGACACAGACTTGTTGGTTTTTCTGGCAGTCCTTGGCACTTTCAAATATTCTTCTCTAACCAGAACTCAAAGGCATCAATTCTTCTACAGTCTTCATTATTCACTGTCCAATTTTCACATAACTATGAGGTGACTGAGATTATGACCTGGGTCAGGTGCACCTTAGTCCTTAGATTGACATCTTTGCTCCTTTGACACGTTAAAGAGATCTTGTGCAGCAGATTTGCCTAACGTAACATGTCATTTGATTTCTTGACTGCTGCTTCCATGAGAGTGGATTGTGGATCAAAGCAAAATGAAGTCTTTGACAAATTCAATCTTTTCTTCATTTATCAGGTTGTTTATTGGTCCAGTTGAGAGGATTTTTGTTTTCTTTACATTGAGGTGCAATTCATGATGAAGGCTGTGGTCTTTGATCTTCATTCGTAAGTATTTTCAGTCCCCTTCACTTCCAGCAAGCAAAGTTGTATCACCAGCATATGGCAGGTTGCTAATGAATCTTCTTCCATTCCTAATGCCACCTTCTTCTTCATATAATGGAGAGCTTTTTGGATTATTTGCTCAGCATACAGACTCAATAAGTATGGGTAAGAAATAAGAAAGGTTACAACCCTGGTGCACATCTTTCCTGATTTTAAACCATTCTGTATCCCTTTGTTCTGTTCAAGAGAGCTCTAAAAAGTTTATGGGAAAATTGCAATATACTTCTATTCAGTTTCCATAAATTTTTTGAAGTAGTGTTTATTAATTATATTGAATGCAAGTGGACTAAGCACCACAGTTTTAGAGAGAAAAAAAAGACTGTTAGATTAAATTAAGAAGTAAAAAAGAAAAACAGAAACCGACTATGTACTATGTACAAGAAATCCACTTTACCTATAAACACACAGATGAGACAAAAGGAGAAAGCTGTATCACCCAAATACTCCTAAGTAAGGGGAGGAAATCCTGAGATTTTATTAATATCAGACATAGTGGACTTACCATAAGAAAAGGAAGATTTCATAATGATAAAGGTAACGTTAACCATGTATGCCCCCAATATCATATATCCAAAATGTATGAAACAAATTGACAGAACTAAGAGAAGGGCTAGACAAATCCCTCCACAGATGTAATGAAGGGTTTTAACATGCCTCTTCCAGGTCCTACAGAACAAAGAACAGTGAGGGCACAATTCACTGCCCAGTACAGACGATCAGCCACATGCGGTACTGAGCACACCGTAATGGACAAAAGGATCTTGGATGTTGGCGCTTTCATATAAAAAGCCGTGCATAATCTCACCAACAGTATCTACTGCACACGAGTGGAAATAATATTTTGGATCTGAATAATATATCACATGAAACATACTGTGCATTTCTTGTCATCACTCTGACTTCAATTTTTCTATCTGGAAGATGTAGTCAGAGACTAACCAAAAGAAAGGGCATTCTTCAGGCAGCCAACAAACATGAAGAAAGGCTCTGTATCATCAGCCATTAGAGAGATGCAAACCAAAACAACAATGAGATATCACCTCACCCCAGCATTAACAGCAAAGTTCAAAAATAAACCGAAAACAACAAATGCTGGCGAGGGTGTGGCGAGACCAGGACCCTCCTACGCTGCTGTTAGGACTGAAAATGGTGCAGACACCGTGGGAAACAAACATGGCGCTTCCTCAAAACATCGGAAATCGAAATACTTTATGACCCAGCGATCCCTCTACTTGGTATAGATCCTCAAGAAATAAGAGCCATGACATAAATAGATACATGCACACCCTAGAGAGGGGTGGCTCTGTAGAGCAAGCACTGGACTGCGAATCACAAGGTCAGCAGTGGGAGTCCACCAGTCGCTTCATGAGAGAAAGATGAGGCTTTCTGCTCCTGCAAAAATTTGGAAACCGTATTCAGGGTCCCTGAGTCAGAACTGACTCGACCGCACTTAAAAACAATGTTCATTGCAACACTCACTATTCACAAAAGCAAAAAGATAGAGCTTGCCTAAATGCCCGTCAACAGACAAACAGTTAAACCAACTCTAGTACATACACACACGGGGAAGAACAATGGCGGATCGGGAACACAGAGGAGCTCAGAGCATGCCAGTGCTGCTCTACCCACCTCCACTTTGCCACCTTGGGTTTCAGGAAGGTCAACCCCAGACGCTGGACGAGCTTCACCCCAAGTTTCCGGAGGAGGGTCTGATTGCTGTCAGAGAGTCTGCAGTTATTGAGACACTCCAGGACGGTGGCAGCTGAAATGACAATCGACCACAGTCAACACTGAGGAGGGGTCCCAATGACTTCCACCCTGTGTCACCGGCAGGTGGTAGATACAGCCCACTCCTACAGCTGCACGGTGCGTGACTAACCAGCCATGTCTGGAGGTTACCAGAAGAGAGCGTGCCTGTGAGGTAGAAGGTATTGGGTACGGGCACAGTACGGGGAGAGAGAGAGAGACAGTGTGGTCACATGAGGTCAGGTGAGGGGTCCTGGGATATCTGTTTGCTTGAGTGGAGGCATGGAGAGCTGTGGAGGAGGCCTGGGGGCAGGGCCTCGCAGAGGGAGGAGGGGCAGGAGAGGAGCCCCGCCAGAAGCACAGAGGCCTGGAGAAGACATCACTGGTCCCTGAGGAACGATGGACAAGACTTTGACATCCACCACATACGGGAAAGGGGAAGGAAGAGGTGTTGAGGCTAAAGCCGGAAGCAGCCTGGAATATGGTCACTGAACCGCTGGTGGACACAGGGGCTTTCAGTGACTTGGCAAATGTTTTGTCTTCGGAATCAAGGTGTCACCATATGTGAAAACCCGCCTTTAAAAGGTGCCCAAGGGGCCCAGGAGGCTGAAGTGTGGGGGTGCTGAACAGCTACTGCTCAGGGCACTGGGTGTTATGGGGCACAAGGCCAGGTGTTGGCAGGGCTGTCTCACAGGGGACTGGGGGCGCTGGGTGGGGAAAGAAGGGGGCTCACGGGTGAAACAAGGTTGCTCACCAATTAGATCCTGAAGCTTAAGATAAACCTATGGGGGTCTACTATACATATATAAAGAAAGCCCCTCTTTCTGTATACAGCTTGCAAATTGCCACAATAAAAATGTAAAAGGAGACAGGATACTACTCAGAGCAGAAGCATCTCCTAGCCCAGAACTGCGGAACCCCGCTTGGCACAGGTAGTGAGCCTGTCTGCACAGAGAAAGCTGTCCTTGTACCCTCATTTCCATGAACAGGTAGGTCAGTGGGAGGCAGAGGTGGGGCCACCGGTCCAGGTGCACATGGTATGCCAGGGACCCCCGCAGCAGGAACAACTGCGTGGAACATCAGGTCAGGGCACCAGTATCGGGGCCTAAGTAATCTAAGTTTCTGACCATGAGAGGATTTAACAAAAAGTTCAATTATTAACACACATACACACAAAAACAAACAAAAGAATGATGACAGTGTCCAAACGTACCAAGTTATAGAATTTTGAATAAGATGTTAAGGAGACATACTCAGTCACAGGTAGGCAAACACATCAGAAACATATCATCTCATCAAACAAACCTTACCATAGGGTAAACAGTCTTCACGCTTTCCATGTTTAAATATCTGTGCCTAAAAAAGAGAAAAATCTTTTTAAAGCATTACAAATTTAAAATATAGCTTGCCAGAACAATCCAATGCACCTTCCAGAAGTGTCTACTCATTCCCAGATAACAGAGGAACTGTTCTAGGCACTACAAAGAAAGGGTGATCAGGGTCTACAGAGGAAACCGCCCCAGGAGGCCAACCAACAGAGTCACATGACAGCAACCACCCACAACCAGTGCTAGGTCGGCGGAGACAGGAACAGAGCTCCTCATCGGGGCATCGCTGGACCAAAGCAAGCTGATGGCAAAGGGGGACTAAGCAATCCCTATGGATTTTTAATTAAAGAGAGCAAGAGATGAAAGTCACACAAAATGCAGTTCCAACACTCGACCTCCTTCTCTCCACCCTCCAGACCAGAGACAAGACAGTCATCGACTGAGCCCCAGAACTAACCCCCTGCAGGCCCATCATAGGCATATGGACACTCCCAGGGGTCTCGGTGTTGGGTCCCCACCCTACTCATGCAGACACTGCCTTCACACCTCCAGACCTCCCACTGAAAATCAACCCATCTGACCTGTCTATAGCCCTCCTTCCACTTTCATGCCCGGAGACCAAGCGGACCTCTTCATATAAACTCCTAGCACTACACAGAGCCCAAGCGGACCTCTTCATAAACCCCAAGCCCTACACAGACCATCCTGGAGCAGCAGACATTAGGAAACAGCTGACAAATGTCATTTCATCTCAAAAATCGCTCGTCACTGGCAGATGACAGCCACAGTCACTTTATGTACAGGAAGGGCCCCACTCCTCTGTCCACTCCACAAATTAACAAGACTGAGGTTATGGTGTTAACAGAGCTCAGGTGGTAGAGAGAAGGTGGCAGAGACACAGCCTAGCCCCAGGGCTTGTGCCACCTGTCCACACCCATGGCAAACATGATCGAAAAGGGCAACAGACGTCCCGCCCAGAACCATTCAGCTCAGCCGCACATGTCACCCCGGAGCTCCCAGGAGGCCTGCCAGCTCATCAATGCCGAGAGAGGACCATGGTGCATAATCGCCGAGCCCTGCTTGGCAGCCCCTCTGGGAGAGTCAAGGCTCTGGGTAGCACACAGCCCACCACCAGCACTCCGACACCCAGCATTCACAGCGCTCAGCAGAAGTGACACCATCTTTGGTCTTTCTCACATTAGTTCTTCCTGCAATAACGAAGCCCCACAAACCATGGCCCCACCACGCTGGATGAGGAGAGCCACAGATACACTGTGCCCCATCTTCTCAACACAGACACAAGGTCACACAGGACCCATCCAACACGGGCCCGGTGCCTCCCACGTGGTTCCACTAGCACCCCTATGTCAGGGCCTGACCAGTCATCATAAACTACTTCAACATGCTGTGTCTATACCTCGGCTGATGAGGGAAATACCACGGAACTCTGTACAAAGACGGGAGGCACTTCCCTAGAAAAATCACTGTCCCACACCTGGCAAACAGTGTGGTGTGGTGAAGTCCCGCCCCCGTCCCACCTGAGCCTAGAGGGGGCTTCCTGATGCCACTGAGTTGTGGGCCGGGAACACCCCTGAGCACTGCACTTAGGAACCCAGGAAGGGATTTAAACCTCAGCCTGCAGGCTATGAGCGCCATGCGGTCATTTTCCATAGCTGTGCCAGGATTTTACTCGGCCTTTACAAGCTCCACACTGGCAGCAGTATGGAGGAGACACGCACGGGTGGGTGAGAACCACAGACTCTCAAGAGACTATTATCACCCTCCAGGTGAGGCCCAGAAAGAGAGAGAACAAGGCAAAGGTTCAAGAGGAGGAAGGTTAGGGGAAAACTTAAGAAACAGAACTGCTAACCGAATAATAAGAATAGAAAATGCCAAAAACACTCTGTCAAACTAGCATTGTCTTCCAAATTCCCCACAGCGCATGCAATGGTGTTCTAATGAACACCAGGAAAGCAAACGTCACTTGTTCAGGCGGCTCCCGAGGGTTGCACAGCTATTCCAGGGCCTGACTCCCACTCAGCTCTACACAGAAGTGAGAGAGCAGCTGAGTCAGGCGGAGGCCATGGGCAAGGCACAGACTGAGAACTCCGTACCCCTCAACCGTGATGGAGAAGTTGCTCTAGGGGCGATTTCCAGTGGAATCAGGCATGGTAGCAATGGGCCCAAGAAACCTCACAGCCCTCCCGTGTGGTGCTCGGCTTCAGGCGGTACAGGGACAAGCAGGAAGGGGCAGAGTCAGCGAGGACAAGGTCGGAGGGCTGCTTTCACATGACAATGCAGCCTGTCTCCACCACCTCCCACCGTGAGAAGCGTACCCTGGGGACGGAGGGCCTGCAGCAGACATAAGCTGAGGCTTGAGAACATGACCCACCTTCAGACAGCTGCAGAAAAGCATGCATTCAATACACACACTTCTACCACTTAGAAATACGGGGAAATCCAGCCACAAGCTAGTGACAAATGACAGTCAGGAGTGTTTTTGTTGTTTTAGGACATGACCCAGGATGAGGAACAAACAGGACCAGTGTCTCCGCAGCCATGTAGCTGGACCCGCCCAAGCCTGACTCGCCTCTTCAGGGCATGTTCTCCAGCCGGGTAAATCACAGGCTGTTGGGCGCAGAGCGAGGCTGCTGGCTGAGCAGGAGATGCTGCTTTGAGGCTCCCCGAAGGCACTTTCCCACAAGGCCCACAACAAGCAGCCCCTCCCACCAGCACCCACTGGGCATGTCCGTGGGCTCCCAGGCAGGACCAGGGTGAATGGTTACAGCCACGTCAGCATGTTAGTAAGCATGGAGAAATGAGCAGAGCCCCTATGTTCTCCTCAAGCCTGTTCCAGTGCTGAGCATACCGACAGGCAGCCACCACGCCCACACACACTCCCAACAAGTCAAGGCACTGGGGGCACAAAGCTACTCTTGGGCCAGGGGAGGTGAGCAAAATGCAGACACAGAAAGGGCCGGTATCAGTCATCCTCTCCTGCCCCCCCGGAGGTGGACAAAACATAGACACCTGTTGAGCGGCTATGTGCCCACACGCAGGTGTGAGCAGCCAGGCCCATGAGTGGAATTACAGGTGTGCCCCATAGGGCACAGGTCTCAACACGACTCATGCCACGGGCTGCCTGCCCACAGAAAGGCTGAGCTGGGTGGGACTGAGGCAGAGGAGTTCTTCATCACCTGTATGTCACCCGAGAAGAAGCCACCACGATTCAGGCAGCTGGCTTCATGTGATGCCACAAAAGCATAGGAAACCCTACTAAGCAGTGTCAGTGTGCCAGTGTTCTGCCCACCTCCTCCCTCAGCACGCCCCCCCAGTCAGTGCCGTGGTCACAAAGGCGTGGACAGCCTGTGCTCCAGCCCCATCAGCCCCAGTAAAGCGCAAGGTGGTAGGAAGTGAAGGCCAGAGCTGCCTGAGGGACGTTGGGAGGCCTCAGCTCATTCCTTTTCATCTTCAAAGAGCGACCTGCACACTAATTGGCCTCCACACCACCCTGTGAGGTAAGGAACCTTTGTTGTTTCCCTTTGCACGGGAAACAGGAGCAAGGTTTCACCTGCTCCTTGGGTCACCAAGAGGTGGAGTCAGGAATTGCTAAAGTGCGCCCCGGGCTGGGGCTGGCCCACAGGAGGTTCCCGGGGGGCACAGAGGCCAGGTGAGCAGAGCGTCTGAAGCCTAGGGCATGTGTCCGCACACCTCCCCAGGTGAGGGCAGTTTACTCAGAGGTCATTCACACCAGCCTAGGGTTCCTCTTGGGTTTGAAACTACAGGCCACAGCAGGGTGCTTCCACACCTTGCCTTCCATGTTTTAGTTTTGAAGGTGTCTGTGATTGGTTCTTCCTTCAAGAAAGTATTTGCACTTGTCAATTATTAGAAAAATTTATTTAAAAAAAAAAATTCCTTTTCACGGGGGATGCAATCCTAACAGACAGTAAATAAGAGGTTTGCTACCACTAACTGCAGCGGCCATAATTATGCACGTGAAGAGTCAACCGTACTTAACAATGAGATGCCCACCTGCCGTCACATGCACACAGGGCTGACAGTAAAAGCGAAGACGGCACAGATGCCAACAGGGAAGCAGTGACGGGCTCTCCGTTTAACAGTGTTTTCCTTCCTCCAACACCCTCAGTTTGCCCTAATCATACGCCAACATGAAACGACACCAGAGGGTTTCAAAGCCCAAGTGAGGGGCCTGCGGGGAGCGGAGCTGGTACACACCAGTTCCTTCCTTTTAGAGCCTGGGATTATCGCCACAGGGGGCAGGGCAGAGCTTCAAGGGAAATCTAATCAAGTCCTGGTTTCGACGCTGCTTGTTGAGAGTTCACCTGTGTCGCCTAGCCCACACTAATGAACAGGTGGATGAAAACGAAGCCAAGTGCATCAAAGGAAGCAGATGAAATCCTCAAGTACAATACACCTGCAAGTTTCGTCATGCAAACGGACGCTTGCCTCTGCTATTCAGGTCTGACAGGCCGGTGGCGAAACTCACTGGCTGGGCGGGAGGCCCTGACCACAGTGTCTTATCCCAGGGCTCCCTCCAGAGAGGAAAAGGAAGAGGATGCCTGACTCAGCCTCTAGGCCGCGGGGGCCAGGGTGGGGGGCAGTAAGAGCGGCAGAGCTGGGAGGGCAGTTGTTCCCCGCTGGTTCATTCAACTCCAGGATTTCAGCTGCTGCGTCAGACACTCGCTCACCCTAGCTGCGGGCAATCTCTAGATCTCAGTTCTGAGGTACTGCTGCCAAACTGCTGAGCTCAGTGAGGTGTGGGACTGCGTCCTCCTCAGCCTGGGGGCGGGGCGGGGACTTGGCTGGTGAAGCCTTTTGGGAGAATCTTCTTACACTTTCGTCTGCTCAATCTGGAACTGGGAGATACCCACCCCAAATAGAAAGCACCTCCCCATCCTGATCCTCTAATTCTGCCCAAAGGGATCACAAGCCTGAAAACAGGAGCAGGTCAGCTGACTCGCCTCCACCTCTGGGAGGAAAGGCTGAAGACGCCGATGAACAAGGACACCTGACCCCCATGGGCCCTCCCCCTTGCTTCTGGAACTCTGGGGATCACCTCAAGCTCAGGAGGGCTTTCTCTTCTTAATCCTTGGGTGACTGAGATATAAACCAAGTTTTCTGTGATGCAAATCTCCTGTAATTTGCCAAAGTGGCTAGACCTAAAGACTTGCCAAACACAGACACAGGTCACCAGAACGGCTATAGTCACCTCCCGCAAAAAAAAATGATCTTTTCTGAAATAACTGTTTACAAGCTTCAAATACTAAGCCATGTAACCTCCCACAGGAAGCAGACAGACCCGAGTCCCACGGCCCCAAATCCCCACCTAGACAGCGAGGCTTTGCTCCCTGCTAGCACCCCCTTCCATGCCCTCTGCCCTACTTCCCACAGTGCCTCCTGCCGCCTACACTTCAGAAGTTACAGCAGCCAAAGGAACAGTCCCGTGGTGATGACACACTGAGCTGCCCATGGCCAGGGGCAGGGGTCATTGCCACTCCAGGCTTCAGAGGGAAGAAGGGCTGCCTGAGAACCAGCCTCGCTGCTGCAGTGAGCAGCCCAGGTGGACACCCAGGGACCTGAGAACATGCAGACAGGCACAGCGTGCAGGGGAGGGGGGAGGGTAGCCCAGCCCAGAGAGCCTGACTCCCACCGCCCTCCTGCCCTCTGCCACTGAGTAAACACTGAGTTCACTCCTCCTTGTGGCACTAGAAAAGGCATCTCAGGTACGCAGTCACCAGGGTCGCTACAGGTCAGAACCGACTCGACAGCACCTCACAACAGTAGAGTAAAGCCACACTGGCATCCAGGTGGGTGTGGGGACCCCACCAGAGCAACCGAGAGATAATCTAGATAAAGTCCCCAAACAAAGGCTGCATCCAAGAATTGCGTTTGTAACACAACCCAGTGAGGCAGCAAACTGGAGACACCTGCTCCGTGGGGGCACAGCTGATGGGCAGCACCGCCCTCTGGTGGCCATGCACCTGCACCTCCAGCCTGCATTTAATGCCAGACTGGTCCTCAGTCCCCGGGAGCCGCTCAGCCAGCTCACCTTTCACCCACTTAGGAAAAATGTCTCCCGCTAGATCCCACAGTGTGAGCTGGAACCAAAGCACAGAACCCCACCACCACCACCCACCACCCACCATCACTCACCAGTGCCCATGTGATGGTCCCCCGCCCAACCGACCACCCTGCCTGGTGCCTCACCAGGGCCTGTAGCACCCCATCCATGGTGATAGTCCCCTCAATGGTCTGAAAGGAGGAGTGAGCCAACGTGTGGAGGGTCCAGTCCAGGAAGCCAGCCATCTTCTTCTGCTTGACGTCCAGGCGTGTAATAAACCTGCCAGAGGAAATCAAACTTAGAAGTCAGGCTACAGGTTCAGCTAAGGCCTCGGCACATCACACAGCAGGTCTCCCCGAGCCTCCTGATTGGGGTGTGGACTGTGCTATAATAACTGCCACCTGGCCCCCCATTAACGGGCTCTGAAAGTGAGCCTCGTAGAACAGACCCTGGCTGCACTCATCAATCTAGGGAAGCAGGAGCTGCCGAGACTGCGGCCCTTGGTCTGGCTACACACAGGCTCAGCCTTCCCCCTGCCCCACCCAAGGACCTTTCTACCTAACCCAGCCCTCTGGTCCTCTGGGAGGGCCTGTGGTTCCCCACCCTTCCCCAGCCTCCAGCTCTCTCTAGAGACAGAGCCACGCCATCTCTAGGTATCTCCTAGGCCCACCCTGACCAAAGCCCAGGGGGCTCTCACACAAACACACCGTAGCAGGAGGGCCATCCAGCACTCAAACCAGAGCTGGGGGCTCTTCACACGCCAGTTCCTGGTACTGACCACACCCATGGTCCTGGACACTGGTATAGAACAGAGCCCCACCACCTGCAGCCCCAGGGACTCAGGCAAGCACACACAAGCACCAGACAACAGGCCTTCCAAAGGTGGCAGCATCATGAAGGACACGGCAGTGGAACCCACCGCCACAACGTTGTTAATGGAGAAAACCAGTCACTGAGGATACTAAGGAAGTCATGGTGGGGTGCTGGGGGATAAGCACTGAACTGAGAATCACAAGGTTGGCGGTTCAAAGCCATCAGCTACTCCTCAGCAACCCTATCCAGGGTCACTATGAATATAGGAATCATCTCCACGGCACTTAACAAAAAGGATATTAAGGGTCAGTTCACAAAGCAAGATAAACCCTACAACAAGGAAGAAAGTAGTAAAGTGCACCAGTAACCAGTGACACACCGAGTAAACGCTTCTAATGAAAAGTCCAATGCCTCAATGTAAGGCTTGAATCCAACTCCAGGTACCCAGTGCCTGAGGCTCCAATCTGACCCGAGGTTCCCAGAACGCGGCAGCAGCACAGGTTGAGAGCCCCCTGGGCCCAACAGCAGCCCCAGGACTCAAGCAGGCTTCCCTGGGGCCTATCCTTAGGAAAGGACCCCCTACACCGAAGGCAGTTCACACCTACCCCCTACACCGAAGGCAGTTCA